CTTCTAGGATTTTGACAATGAATGCTTGATACTAAGAAGTTTAGTGAAGCAAGAGTCTAAGTAGAGAGTCGTGAATAGAACAACACTTTTTTTGCTCAAAGGAATATCTCTCTACTTAGTGTGCTCAGTCTTGGTTAGAAACTTTCGTTTCTGCCTATATTTATAGGCTCTCCGGTCAATCGATCTTATCCGTTGGTTAGGATAGATCAATCTTGTTCGTTGAATCTTGATTGCAGAGGATAAACAACTTGTTGTTTATCTTTCTCTTCGGAGCTGTATGGGTTCTGTTTGTTTTGCCCGCCTAGCCGCTGCAGTTTTCTCTAGGCTTCAGACTGTACGCCCATGCTGTACGTCGGTTCTCCATGCTGTTGATTTACTGGCTCTGTTTTACCCGTCATGGTAATTTTGTTAGAACATAGTAATTTTTAGGTCTAATAAAATTATACTGGTAGGATTTAAATATCCTATTAAAGGTAAATAAGTTTACCTTATTGCATTTTTATTGTCCAGTAATAATTTTATTAGTACTTAAAAATTGTACATTTATTTGTTCTCTCTTTGACACATTTTTCACACCAATATGCCTTATTGATAAAAATGTTCGTAATCAAATAAATATATACCGGTAGGATTTAAATATCCTTTTAAGGTAGTTTTTACTTTATTGCATTTTTTCTTTTCCGGTATAATTTATTTGGTACATACATTTTTCTTTTGACTTCTGGTCATAATTGGTTGTGATTGGCCCAACTTGTATTTTGAACTTAGACCATTAATTAAACTGGTAGGATAGAAAATCCTATTAAGGTAAAGATTAATACCTTATTGCATTTTTGTGCTCCAGTTTAATTAATTTGTTTGTTCAAAATCTTTTAGTGCTTCTTATGAAACAAAATAAATTTAACTGGTTGGATTTGTAAGGCATCCGTTTAAGGTAAAAGAATATTACCTTATTGCATTTTCTTTTCCAGTTAAATTTATTTGTTCATTAGTCTTTTGGACAGGACACTTTCAAACAAGTCTTTTACAAAAGATGAATCTACTAGAGAGTAAAATACAAACATTTGAATGCTACAAAAGATGGGGATGACATCATCAAAATCGTTATATCAAAATCTAGGGTCTAACAATATGTACCCACTGCAGTTACTCGAAAATTTCACTATTTATGAATATGACCCCGTGTCTACATATTATAACGGTTCTAATTGAACCCATATTAAAAGCTAGTTCTAATTTTCTTGGCATTTTCGAGAAAAAAAATGGATATTTTTATAAAAAATGGTAGAATTTTTACTGGTTGAAGGTGATGATGCTGGGAGGCGGTGGGAAAGGTATCCATATATTCTTTTTTATTTTTTAAGGGTTTTACTCTTTTTTATTGTTATTTTAAAAAAAAACAACTTTTTTTAATATTTGTATTTCAAAAATATTTCTTTATTATTTTTGTAAGATTTTTTAGTATTTTTTCATTTTTCATTTTTTAAAGATTTTATTATGAATTATAACATTTCATTATGAAATAATACCCTTAGGGGCATTATAGGTTATTTTTAGTCCTATATAGAGCAATTACATAAACCGGTCACCAAAGAAGTAAAGTGTTTCAAAAGTGAGATGAAAAATATGAAAGGTTGTATGGAGAAACTTTTGAACATCATGGGATATGATAACTAATTAATGAGGTATTCCATCACATTAATTTATTTAATCATTTTGAAGAAGTATGTTATATCTTTTAATAAATACTAATTTACTATTTTTAATATGTTAGGTGGATGAGGAGAGTGATGAAGTGTCAACGGATGGAGAAGATTAGTGACTTATTTAATTTGAAGTGATTTTTTCTACTTAGTTTTTAGATTTATTTGATATTAACTTGCATTGAACATTATTGCTAGTTAAAAATTACTTAAAAGTCAATTATATGTAATCATTAGATGATTAAACTTTGCTTTGAATTTAGGTTACACGCATAATATATCAGTTATACCTTATTTGTAATGAGATTATTGTTGGACGGTTGTTATATTATTTGTTATTATGATTTGCTTAATTGATTTAGAGCCCGTTTGGCAGCACGAAAATCGGCTGTTCTGGCTGATTCTGCTAAAATTTATGAAATTCTGGCTGAAGTGACTGCATTGGCTGATTCTGCTGATACAAGAAAAAAATATTTTTAAAATATATTTTATTAATAAAATAAAGAAAAAATTATATGTAAAAATAGCTAAAATGGTCATCTACAGTAACTTCGGCCAATACAGCCAGAAAAGTAACTTCAACCTTAATTTTTCGGCTTATTACACAATTCAGCGCGCGAAAGCAAAATTTACGTGTTTGATAAAAAAGTTGACTGATAAGCCTGATAAGCTAGGGTTGCCAAAAGGCCTCTTAAAATAGTATTGTAGCAATATGTTTAAATCAATTGAGACTTTTCGTTGAATTTGTATTGTTGTCATGAACATAAAATTGTATTTAAAAAGCATATAATTAAGAAATTGCATATAAAGTTTTCATTGACATTACCTCTAATGATATTTTGAGACACCATAATATATTTGTTTCAAATTACATTTTGAGACATTATACTTTAAGTTGCCCCAAATGATTTTTTAGGACAAGATAATATGATTGTTACAAATGATGTTTAAAAATGGGATAATATGATTGTCTCAAATAACGTTTTGGGACAAGGTCATATGCTTTCTTCAAATGATGTTTTAGGACAAAGTGACATATTCGCCTCAAATGATGTTTCGGGACAAAGTGGCATGGTTGCCTCAAATGATTTTTTGAGACGCAATCATTTGATTGCCTCTAAAGCTACTTTTAGAGGCAACCATCATTTAGCCGCAAATTAATTAAAGACACCTTATAGACAATGACGTGCACTTTGTCACGGTGCGTCAAAATAAATTCAAAACTAGCACTAATACGTAGTATATGTGAAGTAGACTTCGTATCCATAGGGAAATGAATACTTTTCTTTTTATGAACTTAGTAAATAAAAGAGGGTTTTGGTGTTGAATGATTTAATTTAATTAAAGACTAAGATGAACGACTTATATGATATTTAATTTAAAGATAAAAAGGACTTGGCATTGCTAATTTCCACTTGTTGATATATTTTAGTCGATCATTGTTATATATATAACTTATTCCCTCTCGAATACTCAATTGAGGAGTATATCCAATTCATCGAGGGTAGTTATTAACAATGACCGTTCATTAATAACCCTTACTATTAGTCAAGTATAGAACACCGTCATATATCGACTTGATAGTAGCATTTAATCTCTTAACTCCTTGATGAAATCAATTGAGATTGATAACCTCAACACAACGGTTTCGGTTTAACCAACAAAATTAATCCCTCTTAAGTTTATCAACCACGACCGTGCATTAATAAACCGAAGTTACTTACCTGTTAAACCATCAACGATTAACCATCGATTCGTCGATCATTTCTAGTAATAATTAATATATGAAACAAAACTAGTTGATCCTTTAAGTAATGTTCAAAATATTAATATGAAATATGAATAGGAATTAATATTCAAGGAAGAATATTATTAAAGTAGATGAATCCTACTATAATTAATATCAAGATGTTAACTAATTGTCATCTTAGCAACACTCCCCAACAATAATATAGAGGAAGAAAATATCACTCTAACTAATGTCAAGATGTTAACCAATTGTCATATTAGCAACACTCCCCAACATTAATATAGAGATAGTATTAAGGAAAGAAGTAATAATTAATATTCAAGGGAAGAAGTTAAGAAAATAACTCACAACTTTAATAATCAACAAGCTTCAAAAGCAACACCAACAATTGGAAGTTTAGCTCCTCATTTGGAGACTAAACATAGCTAGAAAAATATAAAGAAATGATATTCTAAACTGAGCTTAAGAGTATGGAAGAATGAATGAATATTTGTGAAGAAAAAGTGTGCTATTTATAGGTGTTTTTCAACACCTTTTGCCGGGTACCCGACCGGGTACGTACAGTACTTACCCGACCGGGTCCGATCAAAATCAGATAATCCGCCATGTTCTCATGTTTCTGCACGTCGATTTGTCCCGGGTCATGCCTGACCCGTCCGGGTAGCATATGGGACCCGACCGGGTCTGGCAATTTCCTTGCTATTTCGGTTGTTAAATCTTACCCGACCGGGTGGGGAATTCTACCCGGTCGGGTTTTGCTCCTGGGTAGTCAAATTTCTTTGTTTTCTTCTCTTCAAAGTCCTCTTTTCCAACACCATAAATCCTAAATCTACTTTACAACTTATAAATGAAGATTAAAATACAATTACAACTAAAATCACACAAATGTTTACAAACTAAATAAAACGATAAACAATACACACAAATCCAACATAAAAACATACACTTATGGACTAATAATTAGTGCATATAAGACAACCAATAAATTGCATCTAAAAATAATTAGAGGCAATTTTTTCATATATTGAGGTAACAACGTCCCGCCTCTACAAACCATTTTTCTTGTAGTGTACCTTTTAAGCGATTACTGATTATTTTTATTTTGCTTCAATATGCATTATTTGTGTTGTTACTTTTGCTCAAATATGTATTTTGAATAATAGTAAAGTGATTTATGCCTTTATTTTATTACCTTTATTAGATATTTTTGTTATAATTCATATTTTAAATATATATAGTTTATGACTTGTCTTGGATATAAGTCAAATATAGTAAGTGTATATATCACTCATTGGCTCTGAAATGGGCCGGACCGGCCCTGAATACACCTACTTCCATATGATGTACTAGTACAATATAATAAAATCTTCGTAAATACTTAAGTGTTTCAATATTTATTTATATATAAACACACACATTAATGGCAATCATAAGTAAGGTGATAATATTTTTCTACTTTCAATCTAGATGGCACAACCCATAAAAAGATAGTGATATTCAATTTAGATAAGTGATCAAATTCTCTTGCTAGCAAAAGAAACATTATTCGAGAATTTACGTACCTACAATATAGTCCGTATAAGAGTCAACCTAACAAGTTAGATGTATATATAAACATGCTAAAGGGGTTTGTTTACATGATGGAGAATTCATCTTGAATTCCATCCAATTCTCCCTTAAAACTGTGTTGCTGGATAATCAAGACAGAAGTAGTGGCGGAAGCCGAGAGGATGTCTCCGATGAGACCCAGCTCCGGGCACTCTTGCCAATCATTCATTCCGACCGTCAGCACTGAGTTCACTCGCCCGCCACCTCTCCCCACTATGAACAACTGATACTGTCCCTCCAAAGACCGCAAAGTGGAAAAGGTCTGCCCGGAATTCACAAGATACTTCTCCCTATAAGCCACCCGTCCTCCCGCTACATGCCGGTCATAAAACTGCGCAAAGCACTCATCGTCCAGCTTCATCTCTTCTTGGTGCTCCACTGTGTTTGCCTTCGCCTTGCTGATTCTCGACGCCACGCTATCGCCTTCCCGACCCGTACTCGCCTCCAACAAAAATCTTATTACTGTCAACTTCACACCGGGATGTTTCGCCACACGACCTGGCGAAACATAATAATTAAAGATAGTACCGTTGAGACTTTTTGCTTGAAAGTGCATGTTTGCTTTTTATAAAAATTAGAACTTTTTCGAGATAGAGATATATAAAAGGAAAGTGTGAACTTCGATAGAGCCTGCATAGAACATCTCAAACCACAAATGTACCTGCATAGGATAGAGCCTCGCGGTCATCCTTACCACCGATGAAGATAACGGCGGCGTTTAGCTTAGAACTAACCAATAACGTGGATCCCAAACCTCGATCGACAAGGATCCCGACCGAGCACGGAGCATGTCGGAGCACTTTGCGATTAACGTGCCGGAATCCCGAGTGTCCCATGTCGAGCTTCCCATCCGGTGTCGGGTTCTTATGGAACGGCATGACAATTAAGTGAACCATAAGATCCTCCGCAAGGATACAAACATCCTGGTGCATGCTGTTTAACGTAGAAAGAGCCATCATTTGTTTGACCTTAACCCCCTCGCCGTTCCCTAACTCCGAGATATAGGACTCAACTGAGGATTTTATTTCTTCTCTCATCTCAACCACTTCTGGGTCAGTGACGGTCACCACGTCAGCGTTGTTGCTGGTCACGGTGGCAGCCACTCTGTCCGTCAACTCGATCATGTCCGTTAGATATATCATGATTCCAGGGTCGGATGCGCCACGGGAGATTTCGATCAAGTTTATCGCGCAAGAGACATTCTGCTTGCCACGTAGGCAGAGAAGGATTCGCAACTCGTCTGTTGCGTTTAACCATTGGAGCGCCATTCGTTGCGTGGGGGAACGCTTCCTTGCCCATTTTATGATCTTCGCCACCACCAATGGGGTGTACAATATGGTCAAAAAGCTCACAAATACTGTTGAAAGCCCAAATGAAATGCTTGTGAATTTCATCTGCATTTCAATGAAACATTTCAATAAATAGATGCCAATATGTTATGGAGTCTTTATTCCTTGAGATTGTGTAATTCTAGACGTTTACTTGCATGGGCGGATCCAGGAAAGTCATTTTGGGGGACGAAAATATTTTTGGGGGGTTCAAAATACTTTTTGGAAGAACAAAAATCATTTTTCGTATATATATACACTAAAAAAAAATTTTGTTGGGAGAGCGGTAGCCCCCCTGGGTCTCTACTACGGTCCGCCCCTGTTTACTTGGCATTATGGGAAAAAAAATTATTAAAAACAAATAAAGTAGCGTGAAAAGAAAAAGAAAGACATGTCCTCGATTTATTTTTTTGCTATCTATTTCTCTCATGGTACACATGCACATTATTCACCAATCCAATTTGTTGATTTTTTAGGTGCAATCAAGCCTTGACAATCTTCTTATAATTTTTTTTGAAAGAACTCTTTCTTATAAATTAGGTTACAAAAAGCGTGAATATTAAGAGGGACTTCAAAGAGTGGAAGTATAAATTTCAATTTTTTTGAAATTGAATTTAATACCCGCATGGGTAGCTCAATTGGTTCAGTGACGAGAAATTTAGAACAATTGAAATTGAAGTTGATCCATTTGAAAAAATAGTCATTTCATAAATCACATAGAAGTACATGCCACATGCATGCAATTGCAAACATAGCCCTTCACTGCTCACATCAAAATGAATGACTCAAGATTTCAAATTCCCTTTTCAAAAGTTAGACTTGAATTTTAATCACATTTTGTAATGGTGAAAACTAAATTAGTTATGACTTATGAATCTGTCCCTATCAAAGAAAAGATATTAGCCTGCCCCTATCAAAGAAAATTTCTAGCTACTTTATTTAGACATCATAAATTAGTTTAAGAAAATTATACATACTTCGTATATAATAAATTGTCACAATTAGTACGGAGTACTTTTATCAAAAGTTATTAAAGTGGGACAGGATGATACAAAATAAAAGAAAGAATAGCTTACCACGGAGGAGACAATGGCTAAGAAGACTTGAAAATGGCCTTTGATATTGAGAAGTAAGCCAATAGCAACTGATTCAGGCCAATTAAATCCCAATATCACCCCAGAGACCAAACATCCAAGAACTTTCCCAACAGTTGATATCAAGAACAAACACAATATATTAACCCATGTTTGCCAATGAGAAGCCCCAAACTCATTTAGTTGAGCCGATGTCCCTACCCATAGGAAAAACAATGGGTAAAATATGGTCGTGAAAACATAGTTAACCTTAGTTATCATCATCTTAGATATCCTCCCCTCCCTCGGCATGAACAATCCCGCTAGGAACGCGGCGAGGACCTTATTGAACCCTCCGAATGTTGGGGATATGCTGCAAACTATGACCACGAACGCTATCGCTACAACTAAATGTGAACCTTTCATGGATTTCCCCTCTGGATTTTCTTGATTCACCCAATTCATCACCAAAGGCACGACCCTCGATGCCAGAACGGTTTGGAACATTAATGTAGTCATCATTTTCGCCACGCTTTTTGCGTCGCGTGTCTCGAAATTGTTGAGTGGGTCGAATACTATATACCCGACCGAGATCAGTAATGTCGAGACAACATCAGAATGAATACCAGCTGCCACAACAAAGCGCCCGATGTCTGACTTTCCGATCTTCAGATCGGTTATCAGGCGAGTCAACAACGGTGAAGCCGTGGCGGAGAGTATGACGGAGAGACAAAGGTTAAATATGATGTCGGAGGCGGTGGAGATCTTGAGGAGGGGAACGAGGAGGTTAGAGAGGACGAAAGCGAACAACACGCCGGAATACGCAACCTTTGTCTCTGGGAGGTCTAAATGGAGGAATATGTTGGGGTCGATTTCTAGTCCCACCACAAACATGTGACAAATCATGATGGCATCCACAATGTAGTTTAAGGTTTCATGAATCTCATCATCGTCTAAAGACCTGCGTACAGGTGGTAGATTACTCAGAAACAACCCTACCTGCATATGTTGTTAATTTGTCCAATTATCACACCGTAAAAACAAACTAGCAACTAACATGTAATGTAAGTTTTCATTATAAAGAATTTCATTTCATACCCAAACACATACTACGTATATAAGAATGAATAATAAAGCATTTCAAGGTTTAATTATTGCATATAAATAAAGAAAAGAAGAACCGATATGGAATTAATTAAATATACGTAAACATGCATATATACCATGGCTTCAGAAACAATGCGAGGTTGAGAAAGAGGGCGCAGAAGAAAATGAACAAAGTTGCATAAGACCATGGCGAGGAAGAAGCCTAAGGCGTAAACGGCTATTGATGCCATCTTAACGGTCATCGCCGTTTGACATCTCGCCTCTTCCGCTGCATTGTTCTTCAAGAAATCCATTGACGTATATCTAATTGATTGAATTGACCTTTCTCTTTTTTATGTAAATCAAGAAAATTTCAGATAAAAAATTTAACAATTTCTTTGTTTTTTACTTTGTTTGCTAGTATGATGGAAGATGTTCTCTCAAGAAAAAGTATGATGGAAGATGTATGAGATAGAGAGATTAGCATTAATTTGGAGGGTTTTTTTTATCAAAAAATAAATTGACTTGTTAGAAAAACGTGAATTCAGGTTTGCCATGTTATTATTAGATTATCCCAATCCTTGTCAAGGAATACACACACACAAATATATATATATATATATATATATATATATATATATATATATATATATACATAGATATATATATATATACACATAGATATAGATATATATACACATAGATATAGATATATATACACATATATATAGATATATATATACATATATATACATATATACATATACATATATATACATATATACATATACATATACATATATACATATATATACATATATACATATATACATATATACATATACATATATACATATATATATATATATATATATATATATACATATATATATATATATATATATATATATATATATATATATATATATACTCTCCCCATCCAACAAAATCAATCATATTGACTTTTCTTGATCATTTATGGGTACTTTAAAAACTTGATCATTTATATTTATGTTTGATCATTGATATTTATTACTCTAGTATGAAATTATTTAAAATAAGAAAATTATATAAAAGTGCTCTTTGTTAAAAACACTTTCATAAAAGTATAGATTTTATAAATTTCACAAATATTAAAACCAAAATAAGTGTACAATATTTACTATCATTGACCAATAAAAGTGAATTTGGCCAAGTTTTGTAAGACAGGGTAGTATATTATTACAAAAAAACTAAGCTGCATTTTCATATTAAATGCTTATGTATATTTCAAAAAAATTAAGGATATTTCTAATTGGGCTAAAAAATTGAATCTAGTCTGACCTGATGAGGTCTGGTGTGATCTGATCTGATCCGATCTGGTAGCTGTTTGTTTAATTTTATGTGTATTTTAAAACGGTCATGGTGTGGTCAGATCTTGTCTATCTGCTTTGGTTTAATTTGATCAAGTACGAGACTGAAACTATTGCAATTAAAAACATCTTAAAAGGCCTTTGACATTTTTTGAAACATCGGAAAGAATCAGGGTCAATCAAATATTGTTGGCTGTCTTCCCTCAAGTAGGGTTTTTCTTTTCCGCCGTCGTTGGCCATAGCCAAGGGTTCTTGCGGTGTTGGTTTTTTGTTCTAGATTTTTGTTTTGTTGAAAGACAACAAAATCTCCATAAATATGGATATCACAAACATCTTGTGCCGCCATGGAGTGAAAGAGCCTAGGGTTTGGAGGAAGATGACTGAACACTGTTATAATTCTGTTTTATTTTTTTGTGTTTTTATTTCGAACTCCATGTTGTTTTGGTTGTGTTTTTATTTCCTAGCATAAAAACTCTAGAATTTAAGACACCTCATGAGAAGTATGGTTTGTCTATCATTGGCTCAGTTAAGCTCATTACAGGATCGGAGAATCGTATTGCTCCTACGAATGTGCTAGATTCTAAGTCTGATTTGAGGGTAGCAGACGGTAGACATAAGACTTTTTGTCATTTTGTATCTTGTTTAAGTTCTATTATTTTAATATAAGTCACCTTCTTAAAAAAACATCGGAAAAGAAAAATGTGGTGTTAAATGACACCACTAAGAATATAGTACATATATATTTATTGTAATTATACATAAATTTATAGACTAGCGGAAGAAGGAGATAGACACGATCAATACTGATAAAAAGATCACAAATACTCTTGTATTCACAGCAATATTCATCAATCAAAATTCTAGTATTAATTTCTCATTATATTCCATTGAATTCTTTCTTGTACGATTCCCACAAGAGTATTTGTGAGCTTTTTATCAGTATTGATCGTGTCTATTTCCTTCTTCCACTAGTCTATTTAAACTCCAATGCTTGCCCCCCTCTGTTGACTCAACTACCCGGTGAATGTCTATCTTTCCCCTAGTCTTGCGGCAATCGTTATTCACCTCTATCCAAATGATGCACGTTCTATTCTTATCCATCTGGACTCTTGGCAGCTGACATGGGCTTCAGATCCTTGCGTCATAAACTTGTTTCCTTAAAAAATGATGTGGGCTGGCCTGCTAGTAATTCCGGGCCCAACAATTGCCCCCAAAATTCGAAGTAGTAATCGTCGCTATTTTGATTCATAAAGTCGGTTACTTCTTTGAATTTTAATCATCATTACGCCACCTTGAAACTTGTAAAGTCGTCAGCCTTTTCCCTTATTGAGCAGCCAAACGTCTGTAATATCAATCTTCCTTCCTTCAAAATCCCTCTTCTAAGAAGAAATTTCAAACTTCCGTCTCCCCCTTACCAAAGCTCTCTTCTGGAATCCATGGCGCCGCACTCCTTCATTCCTCAACACATCTTGGACCCAAAAAACTCCAAACATGCCAAACTTACTGTGGCTCATATCGACATCATCAAGTCCGGCTCTAGATTCCCCGTTCATGCTTCTATTCGGTTTCCGGCCGCAAACGAACGAGTCGACTGGTATTGCGATGGCTGGGCTAATTTCTTTATGTATCCCTTCAAAATCGGTATGAAATTCCCTTTCTCTCCCCTGGTTAAAGGCTTCTTGGAGTTCGTCAAAGTTTTCCCCTCCCAAATTATGCCTCAAGTCGATCTGGAGAGTTCTTCGTGGTTTGGAAGTATTGAGTGAGAGGCACAACATTCCTTTTGCGTTTGAAGATTTGGGTTTCACGCACCACCTTCGCTCCTCCGGGGCTGGATGATTCACTTTAGCTATTAAAGATGCTCGCGAAGCCCTTATCCTGAGGGCGGACAAGGCCAATGACTATGGTTGGATGAATCTTTTCTTCTTCGTGCGAAAACATTCCTTGGGTGTTGACAAATCGTTTCTTGAAGATAACCTGCACAAAGGTAATCAAACTTTCTTCTGTTTGTACATTAAGATTGAGATCGTTTGATTGTTGTGCGGATGCATTATACTATGTCGCTATACGAAACATTTTATTGTTGTCACTATTTTATTTTTTTTGTAGAGAGGAAGACGATTCCACTAACTCATGGTCCAAATTCCAAAGAGAGAACCGTCAGGATTCTGGCCATTCCTGCTATTGAGCGCACTTTTGGGAACCTAGTTGCTGATAACGAAGGTACGTCCCCCACACCTATCCGTTCTGGGTTTTTTGGATTAAGGCGTTCTCGCCGCAATGCTCAGAATGTCCCTAACGATGCCCAAGGCTCGCATGTGGTCTCCGCAGACGATTCTGATCACGAGTCAAAAGGTTCAAGAGGTGGTGGAGAAGGCACAAGTGCTTTCGTTCATCTTCAAGTGGTGTATCCTGTTGTTCAGGATTCTTGTCCTCTTCCAATGAAGCGTTCCGCCGGTCTGCCCCAGCTGCTGGTACTAGTTCCCAAACTCTATTCTCTTTAAACATTTGTGCATGTGTTGTTTTGCCTTGAATTTTGACGGATCATAAAAACTCCTGGTGCTACAGCTGCTTCTTCATCCAGCACGCAGTTGATGCCTTATGATTATGAACTCCTCAACATGGTCTCAAGAAAGAAAAAGATTATTCCCTGAAAGTTAGCATCTGCTTCTCCCAAGACTCCTCATTACACGACTGTTGACTTAGTGAAAACTTCTCTGATTCCTCCTGTGACTGTTACTGCTGATCCTAATCCTGATGTGAAGATGAACGCCTCTTTCTCCCCTGACTTTTGGTGTCTGAAGGATGCCTTTATGATGAAAAGTGAGATGCCACAGATTCTGCTCCCTTCCTCGTATGCCGCATTTGATGGTATTTCTTCAACCGGTCTAGTGTTGGCCTCATATATCAGCCTATGCTTTTCAGGTACTTTATCACTTCGTACTATGAATGTTTAACATCTTCCCAACCGTTTTTAATTTCTTTTCTAACAAGAGTTTATTTGTATTGGCATAGCGTTCAGGCCAGCGTTGTTGTTGTACAAAGGTTGGCTTTGCTAGAGAAAACGGTAGACGAACTAAAAGGGAGAGAGAAAAACTTACAGGCCCGTGCTGATACTGATGCCTGAATGATCCAAGATCTTCGTGGGGAGAATTTGGCCTTAGCCAACCAAGTCTCAGATCTGAAAACCCGTGTCAAGTCGTTGGAAGCATACGGGAGGAAAAAGAAGCAATAAGTCACTAATGCAGCCTACTTTTATGCCTGGAAAACCAGAGGTGAGCTAATGGCGTCCTTTATTGCGGGTGAGATGTCGGGTTGGACAACGGAGCAAGACGTGGCTACTTGTTTAAAGCTGCAGGAAGAGATGGATCCCCCAGTAGGAGAAGATGGTTTTGACGTGGGTCACTCCGATGACTAAGCTTAATCAAAATGTTCTAAAGACTCTTGAACTCATTTCCCGTTCTTTTGAACTTCCTGAAAACACTTTGTCTTTTTTGCGCTTATCTTGACTTTAAACATTTCTTGCTTTCTGAAGTTACTCTGACATTGCTTGCATTATGGTTTCCTGGTGGTTTATCCGAGATTTAACGCTTTGTCATGAAATTATGTGCCGTATGTTTTGGTAGTTTATCCAAGCCCTACTACTTTTGAGAATCTTTTGTTATTTCTGCTATCATGTTTTTGCTTTCATGTGTTCTGTCATATATGTGTATGCGTTCCGTCATATATGTATGTATGTTTGTCACATGTGTTTTGTCATATATGTATGTGTTTTGGCCAAAACGTATCAGGTTTCATGAGTCTTCTTCATGCTTATTCCATGATGAGCGCCATGTCTCCTGCATATTGATGTATTGTTGCAATTAAGTATAGACGTAGTACCTTTAGTTCTGGTGTTGTGTTGTTTCACGCTAAGATTTCAACCCGTCACATTCTTGCAATTGTACTTATCATATTGGAGAAAATATGAATTGTAATTAAATACGTGTGACCTTGTCATTTCCGCGTGCTTTTCTGCCCTTAAACCATTATTAGGATTGGTCGTTGGCCTTAAGCCAACGGCCCTCCAATGGTTAAGTTAGTAATGTCATTCTCTTGATAAAAATAAGGTGCAAAAAGAAAATTAAAAATGGAAAAGTT